GTATATATATATATATATATATATATATATAAATAGATTTCAGAGAATTTTCAGGATTTTTCTCAGGTCCTTTTTTTATCTTTTTCTTCACGCGTTCCATATCGAATTCGATGAAAACTGGAATTATTGAAGCGCAGACGATTAATAAAAATTTTACTAGCTGTCAACGTGATTCTGAGTTAGTTAACATTTTCGGAGTACGTGCGGTAGAAGGCGGTTATAGACCGACACTTACATAAAAACCAACGGATAAAAAAATGGTTGAAAAGATTTCTCTGATATCATGTTTTATATATATATATATATAATCAATAATTCCAGTTTTTATCGAACTACGAATTTGATATCAAACGCGCGAAGAAAAAAGATAAAAAAAGGACCTGAGAAAAATCCTGAAAATTCTCTGAAATCTCTGTATATGTACACATATATAATATTGCACGGCAACAGTTCTGACAAAATCGAAAACCTCGCCAAAACCAAATGCGGTGAATTCATGAGACCGCTGAAATATCATTGCCCGTTGCAAATTAATCTTCCAAAAGTCGTTATTTCCCAATGTGTACAGCGGCAGAATCCGCTTGTATGTTTAGAGACGCGTAAACCGGTGTGTCTCTGTTCTGCGGTGCGATTGGTCGCGCGCCAAAAACGTCTCGTAATCAATAAAACTTTTCATTATGTAAAAATCCCGAATAGCTGAGAAGCTCGCCCGCTCGGTACACCGCAAATGACACTGTAAACAGACTAAAGCTGGTTTGGTGCGGCCGTCTTTTGGTATATTTCCTATCGCTAAAGTGTCTCCGCATGGCGCGCCAATAAACGCCCATCTCTGTATGTACACTCACACGTATAATACACTACATACATATGTACATGTGCATTTCTCTGTCGACTCAGTGGCGCGCGCGCGCGCGCGGCAGACATTGGTCTCAGCAGCATCCATCGACACGCAGCGGAGCTTGAGGGTAATTCTGCCTATTCCCAACAGATGCACTTGTCACACACGCGAAGACAATTAACTTCGCATCGCAACGAGTTTCTCTGCGGCGCCCGAAACTGTTGATTTCATCGAATCTATCGCTTCTGTTGCAAATATCAAATGTGTTTCTTCTGTGTGTAAATCCGCTTTTCATGCAAATTATTATATATGTTATTTGCTATCCCGAGGTCACGCCATGGGAAATTTCAAATTTTCAGCAAAATTGCACCTTAAAGCACGCGCGCGCGCGCGCGCGCTTCGACTGTTGCGAATTAATCAATATCAAGCAAGAAAGCTAAGCAAATACGTTGCGTGCCCCACTGTCGATTCTATTTTTTTGACTTAAATGTCAAACGAGGTGAAAACAAACTTATTGTCAATTAAATAGAAGGATAAAAAAAATCCGATTACTATATCTTAATCGATCAGTTAATTAGTTAATAATTAGTTTCTCTTTGTTTTGCTCAATGAATCAACAAAGCCAAAGAGAAATAAAAAAAAAAACAAACAAACAAACAATAAAAGAAAAAACATCGATTCCCGACGCACCATGAAAACCCGTCTGGAATAGCAATCGTTTCCGATTATATTTCTACATAGCGTTTCGATAATGGCACGAATCAATAATGACCTCATTAACGTAACGTTTAATGAACACCATCTGCGAGGTACATTTATAAAACGCAAACGTACTTCATAGATTTTGTTTGTTTGTATGCAAGCGCGCTACTTTCTCTCTCTCTCTCACCCCGAAGTTTGCGTTGTTATTACAGAGTGACACAATTCACTTTCTCGCGGAATTGTTCACTATATATTGATACTGCACGAGAGATAACTCGAGGCTAATTTGCGATATCTTTCTCGGCCTGTCCAATTCGCGCAGGTCACACGGATTATCTGAGAGGATGCATGGCCGACATAATATACAACGGTGCCAAAGTTATAGAGCACGCCAGGTCAAGAAAGGGCCAGTCAGAGGCAACAGCCGTGACGTGGGGCTGTTCGCCGGAATTCGACGCCACGAGGAGCACGGAAGTGAGCTTCGTCGAGGACGGCGCCTTCGTCGCCATCCCTCGTCCCATTCCGCGCTCCGGTACGAGGTACGTATGTGTATGTGTGTGTGTGTGCACCACCAAAAGTGCCGCTTTCCGCTATAATGTATACGCTTTCCCATTTATACCGTCGTCGCACTCACCATGGAAAACGTAATTAACCTATCTCGACACATCTGTGTCACCTGCATCATCGATAACGTTACATCGATGCGGAGAAAGAGACGTGCGACGATAGTTCGCTCGTTCGTTATCATTATATTGTACATATTATTTGCTTATTTGTGGTATATAGATTTTATTAATTAATTTTGAACGCGTTCGGAAGGACGATGCACACAGCTCGTCGAAGAAAAATATTAGGAATATCATCAAAAATCGAAAACATTTGCTCGATGATAATTTTTTCCGGGCAACGTTTTGTTTTAGTTTTTTTAACGAAGCAATTTGCACCATCGCGAAAAACAAAATAATACGTCGGGATTTTCGCGAATTCAATATCTTATGATAATGCCGCGAGAAATATCGTTTCACTGAGGTCGGGGTCGCATAACTCGCATACTCCTGCAACGTGGCTATATATCTACCGCATTCATCGGTCAGGAAAGGCCTTTCATGTTACGCGACTTTTCTACTACCACTTTCATCTCGGTGCAGCTTTTAACGACTAAACCCGTGAGAAACGTTGTTAAACCGTCTCGAAAAGCACGCGGGGAGGAAACAACTGTTTCAATCGTGTTATGCCGCTGTTAACTCTTGCCAACGAGGCAAAAGCAACGCGACGCCGCGCTTCGTCACTGGGAGACACTTTGTGATCCACGCTTTTCAGAACCGACAACGCAGCAACTTTTCGAACGAAACAGTTGATTGACTGAAAAGCTCATAACGATAAAACTACTTAAAGAGCGCACCGACAGTCGTTAATAGAGTTAGTATTATTCGATACATAATTTATGAGAAAGGAGAGAAAAGGAAATAATTATCATTTACATTAATCAACAAATATCACGCGGTCAGATAGAACAATTTTGCTGTGTAATAAATTTATGAGACCTAAAGAGAACAATTGGTTTAACATAAGCGCTTTTTGGAAAGCGTATAATGACATTGATAAATTAGATCACACGAAACTTTTAAAATGTAATTGTGCACATATATATATATATGCTAATTTTATTAAATTATATGTGTGTGTAATATATATAATGTTCTGTAATATTTAAAAAAAAAAAGCGCAGAAAAATGTTCTTTATTTGTTGGCAAACTAGTAGGAGCACCGGCTCACGAAATTTAGCTGAAAATATATCCACGAAATGTTTTTAAATGAATTAAAGGGATTTTTCTCTCGGCCGCAAAAGAGAAGAGAGCGCGCATGGTTTTTATCTACACAAAATAACTATGTGCAAACGTGCATATTGCAAGTCTCCTACGGACAGATTGTGTGCAATGCGGTTTCCGTGGGTCCCCCAATGCATATCACACAAATGTATTCTCGTAAACAGAACCACAAGAGCTCTCTCTTTCTCTTTCTCTCTCTCTCTCTCTCTTTCGTGAGAATCTTTATTTCTATAAATTAAAAGTAGAGACCGCGCGAATGTTTACGTCAAAAAATCGTGAGATACAGATTTTTTGATATCACAGAATAGAATGTTTCGTCTATACACAGTAAAAAAAAAATGGTAATTTTAACATTTTTTGCATGTTCCAGGAGGTCCACTTTAAATTTTACGTTAAAATAACTCATTCGTTGTGAGTCACTTATTGACAAACTAGTATAAAGTCAAATACTTGACACAATACTTTACATTTATATTTGTTATTTTGACTGTAAGCGTGATGTAAAAATAACATATAAAATAATTAAAACTACACAAAACAGTAGTTGCAGTAACTCGTAAGAAATGTTAATAAAACATTTTAGGGTTTGTACAATGTGGCCACAGATTTTTTAAATTTTTTTAGTATGTTAAATTGACTTTGAGACGTCTAGATTAATTGAAATCATTGTGTTAAAAGCACTTAAACAATATTCCATTTTTAAATGACATGCAAAAAATGTTAATTTGTGAAGTTAACATAAATTTAACACGTGAAAAGATTTAAAAAATAATAACATATCAGTATTATGTTAATTTTACATTGAAGTAATAATCAAGACGTCGTAACACAAGAGAAGTTCTACATTTTGACGCACGATTTTTTACTGTGTATGCGCGATCCGGTAATATACCGTCTTGTTTTTTCGCGAATATTAGTTTTCCATGAGAACCTAACCATTCACTTTCTCTCCCTGTCTCTCTCAAACTACTCTCCGCAATACGAAAACACTAAGCACGTACAGAACTAAGATCTCGATCGAGCCGAATAGTACAGCTGTGTTCTCGTTGTACACAATCGCGAAGAAAATTACTCGGGAACGCGCTAGAAGAGGTGGAAAAAAAAAACGCTTAATTTTCACACGAATACTACAATACACGCGAGTAGAAAGGAAAGATGTAAGCGCGGTTAATACCGCGGTATCCACATGCGAACGGTTAAGTCTCTTGGTTTTCCCCGTGTCTTGTTGGGATCGCGCGGCGAAAGCTTCCGCGGTTCCGTAGATGCTCCGCGTGGCTCTTTTGTTTGCTCTGAATTAAAAAAAAAAAAGCACACGCAGTTCCGAATAATACCTTAATTCAACACTTAAACTTTAAAAAATAAATGCTGGAACCTGTTGCGTTTAATGCCATTGAATTGCCGAGCAACACAAAAAAGCACATGCATGTCGGTTTTTTTTTTCGCATAAATATTTGAGAGAAACCGACTGTCGTTTCTTTCTCTTCTTTCGCATCGACCTGCAGGTATCACGCTTCTAAAGCCTTGTCCCGCCGATAAACGGATAAGTTGGATAGTCGGGCGGAATCGAGTGGATGACTGGACAGTCGTAACTGTCTTCCTTCCGCGACGTTCTACGTGAAGTCGATGAACCGTGAAGATTTCGACGTGCGCTCTCTGAACGAGTTCAATTGATCTGGAAGATTCAAGTGTTACATGTATGCGCGACCGATACGGACGCTCTCGAGCTACCTTCACTTTAACCCCGAATGCAATTTCCGCTTGCCCGTTAACCGCTACTCTCTAATTCATTGATTTTCTATCCGTCACAAACATACAAAATTATCATCACACATATTGAGTTATAAAATATATATATAAAATTCCTATACTCTTATCGCGCCTTTTTATTCAATTTGTACGAGTAAAAAAATTAAACGGAAATAAGAAATGATTTTTCTTTTATTTTTTTTTGCACTTTTCCGACACACTCGATTTTTCGAGTGAGTTTAATCTCTATGAAAATCGCTCACTATAGGAAACCTGTAGTTACCACCGTGTTTTCGAAAGCGGAAGCATTGACTGATGAGAAACGTGAAGACAAACAGAATCCGTTCTTAATGCACCCTCCGACATGGTAAACAACTAATTGCGTTTACAATTCGCGCCGGTATATGTTTGCGTGCTAGCGCTGCGCAAGTTGTATCATGCGGTATAAGACATACGCGGACCGACATATATATTGAGCATTTTCACTAATTCCGTTAAACGGCTAGATAACGCTCGATAAGATTGTTTTGATTCGCGCGATTAAACTTAAAGCTTGATTGTGACGTGCGCGCGTTCCAACATCGCTCTGGTTTGAGTCTCTCTTACGTATCTCTGAAAAATTAATGAGCAAAACAAAGAACGCAGCAAAGCTAAAATAGTGCAAGTCATAAACACGATAAAGAGATGCGCACTGTGTGGAAATGTTGTGTTGTGTAATATTCATATTTGCAATTATACATATATATATAAATTATATGCGATAATAATTTTAGTGGCGGGTAGTGCTATGATTCTACCGCATTATTATTACAATGAAAGTCTACTCTCGTCGCATTTGTAACCACCATTGTAGTACTTTGCCGTGCTATGTTACTTCAAAAGCGAAGTAATGAATCCGCCCGCTGAAGTAAATAATCGGCTTTCGCCGTTCGCTCAAGCAAGTCGGCGGCGCGACGTCTTCGTGCACAAGATGCGAAAATCACTCGTCCCCAAAGTTTCTCCCGAGTAGAAGTCGACCGAGCAAAATTTGATTTGATTACAATTATTTAAATTCGCAGCAAACAATCTTCTTTCATCTCTTTTCCCTTGCAACGCGTTTGTATATTGCCTCGCTCGTTTAACTCTGTGTGTTGCGCGAAATAAACATTTTGCCTACTTAATCGCGCACCGTGTAGTAAGATCTGAATGCCACAGCGCGTCTGAAAAGCGACGGTTAAACACAACGAGAGCAAACAACAATTCTGCGGTAATAATATTCGCGAAAATTATTATGAAATTTTCAAACCAACTTCTGCGAAATTTCGACTGCTATTTCATCTCCATTTTGTATCAACGATTTGTACATGTATAAAATTTGTATATCCAATCAAAATTCGAGTACAAAAGCTCAGTTATACACTGAGAAAAAAAAGTTGGTTAAGTAACAAAATAGTATTCGATTCAACTATATGCAGCGGTCACGGGGCTGTCAATAAAATATTGATTAATGTAAGAAGATATCATGTTTCAATAAATATAATAATTAGATTATACCGAAAGACAATTTATATACACAGTTTGTCCGGAAAGTTCCCGGACTACGTGAATTAAAAATCGAAAATGAAAGATATGGTTTATTAAACAAGTTTACACTTCAAG